TTCCTTGAACGATTCTCTCCCACCGTTTCTTCCAATATTTGTGTAACTCTTGTCCCGCGGCAAATTGGCCTAGACTCCCCCCTCCCCCCCACCTCTGGCCCCCCGCATCTTCACTCCGCTTGCGGGACGCATCTGAAAGATGCTCGCTTTGCCGTCGTTTTTGTGACAGGTTGCGTAACCTATCCTTTCTCTCCAGTACCTGATGGAAGGCAGTTACAACAAAGTCTTCCTGGCCAAAGGCAACATCCCGGCCGAGAGTTACGCCTTTTTCATTGACATCCTGCTGGACACTGTCAGGTGTGTTTTGCTCCCCTCAGTTTGGGGACATGAGGTTTGTGTGTGTGTGTGAGAGAGAGAGGCAGAGAGAGATAGAGAGACAGAGATAGAGACACAGAGAGAGAGAGAGAGAGTGACAGAGAGAAAGAGACAGAGAGAGATAGAGACAGAGAGAAACACAGAGAGAGACAGACAGACATAGAGACAGAGAGAGACAGAGAGAGTGACAGAGAGAGACAGAGATAGACAGAGACAGACAGAGACACAGAGAAAAACACACAGAGAGAGACACAGAAACACACAGAGACAGAGAAACACAGAGAGAGAGAGACAGACAGAGACAGAGAGAATGACAGACAGAGAGAGACAGAGAAACACAGAGAGAGAGAGATAGACACACAGAGAGAGAGACACAGAAACACAGAGAGACAGACAGAGACAGAGAGAAACACAGAGAAACACAGAGAGACAGACAGAGACAGACACAGAGAAACACACAGAGAGAGACAGAGATAGAGAGAGAAACAGAGAGAGACAGAGTGACAGAGAGAGACAGAGACAGAAACACAGAGAGACAGAGAGAGTGACAGGGAGAGAGAGACAGACAGAGAGAGACAGAGAAACACAGAGAGAGAGACAGACAGACAGAGACAGAGAGAAACAGAGAGACAGAGAGAGACACAGAGAAACACAGAGAGAGACAGAGATAGAGAGAGAGAGAAACAGAGAGACAGAGAATGACAGAGAGAGACAGACAGACAGAGAGAGAGACAGAGAAACACACAGAGAGAGACAGATAGAGAGACAGAGAGAGAAACAGAGAGACAGAGTGACAGAGAGAGAGAGAGACAGAAACACAGAGAGACAGAGAGAGAAAGAGACACACACACAGAGATAGAGAGACAGAGAAACACAGAGAAACACAGAGACAGAGAGACAGACAGAGAGAAACACACACAGAGAGAGATAGAGAGACAGAGAAACACAGAGAGAGAGAGAGTGTGTGTGACAGAGACAGACAGAGAGACAGACCGAGAGAAACAGAGAGAGAGAGAGACAGGGAGATTGATTGATTCAAGG